GAGTGGACAGTGAAATTACTGTAAATACAGACTGATAAGGAAGAAAATAAAAAATCAAACCTGCTTTAAAACCCAGCAACACAACTGTAGCTGTACAACTTTACAACAGCAACACTGCTTTAACAAAAAAAAACAAAAAAGCAAAACAGCAAGACTTATTTGACATCAAAACAAACATTTTAAAAATGCTGTCTAATCGTTCTCGCTGTACTTTGATGTCACACACAGAATGGTCTGCAGTGTTGCTTCAGTCAGACACCTTTTGTGTTTTATTAGGAGACGCACAACAGTTCTTCTGTGACTTTATATAGATAATATTTTCACTTACACAATTTAGCAAAATCAGACAATATTGTGTCTAATATAAACCACAATATTAACTTTTTATTATTGAATTGTTGTAAATAAATATCACATTTGGAACTGGTCAGTGCTCAAAAAATGCTGGGAAATCACTTCATGTAGCCCTACAAGAGTGATTACTGATAAACTGTCTGAAAAAAAACAAAGTCACGTTTTAGAGAAGAAAAAAACCACCCACTGACTTTTAAAGCTGCCACATAGTAACGACTTTCTACTTCGAGGACCTTGATAGAAATGTAGTGGAGTGAAAAGTACAATATTTGTCTTTCAAATGTAGTGAAGTTAAAGTCATAAGTTTCCAGAAAAAATAATACTCAAGTAAAGTACAGATACTCAAAAAGTGTACTTAAGTACAATACTCAAGTAAATTTACTTAGTGTCCGCCTCTGGGAAAGAGTGAATGAACTTTATTTTTAATGAATATCCAGACCGAGTCAGTAAGAACGTGGTCCTTTGTTCGCTTCATTTTACAGCGGATTCGTTTACAAACAAGGTACAATTTGACGTGGGATTTTCAGAAAGATTAAAAACTAAAAGCTGTGCCGACTATATTGGATCCGACAGTAATGTCACAACACAAGTGTGAGCTACTGCTTTTATTACATGCTCACTATTGCTTTGTCTCTTAAACAGATCGTTTGATATGAGTATTATATGCGTATTTAACCTAAATCACAGCAGCATCCATCTATAGCCACGCCTATTCAAAAAAATTGTTTTTTGATCTAAAAAATCTTGCTAACATTATAAGTGGACCTCAGAGAACAGTACAAAATAAAAAACAGAGGCAGTGCATGACCCCTTTAAGGCCTGTTGATGGGCTCGACTGTGGTCAGACACCTGTCCTCATGTCAACTCACTTCATTGTGTGTAAGTCAGTGAACTGTGCCAGACTCAACCACTGTGACCCGACGCGCTCACATGACGATGTTGACACGGGTCTGAAATGTGTCACGACTGTACATCCAGGTAAAGTACATGGTGGAGCATGAACAGTGAACGTTTGAACCTCTGACACTTACTGTATGTGAAGGGTTTACGTTTTACTGTACTTTGTTTGATATCTTGATGGTGTTTTCTCTGCGCTTGCGGTCCAGTCATCTCAGGCATCGGTTTGATCGGTTTCACTTTCGCGCAGTGGATCGTGTCTTATATTGAAAGACTGTTTTAAAGGCAGCCTGTTTGCTGTTCATGTTTTCCATCAAGAATTGCTCATTTTACCTTCTGTCGGCTGCGCTGGGAATGTTTTGACGGCTTGTTTAGAAAATGAGTTATTATAAGAAATGTTAACTTGCAGTCATGACCAATAACTAGGGTTGTGTGCTGTCAGAGAGGATTCACACGTGATGCAGAATTGCAATTTGAATTAAAGGAGTTAAAATTAAAATGGAAAGAAATTCATATACTGTATTTGTCAATGATTCATAAATGAAGTCTTGCAATATATTTTAAATATATCGATGCAGTAATGGACCATAATCGATTATAGCCTACTGACGTCATTCGCATACGCGCTTGTCACGCGAGTATTAAAGTATTACGCGATTCACACTCCTAAATTACAGTAATGAGCTGAGGCTGTGCTTAATTGTCTTAAAGTCGAGATAAACCGGAAGACATAAGAAGATCCAGTTATGACATTTTGATTAAAAATATTGTTGTCAAGTACTGTGAAACATAGACACGGATGAATCGTTCACAAGAAGATCTTTAAGATGCGTTTAGAAATCAGCTTTTGTCTTGAGGTTTTGGAGAGAAACGTGAGCTGCAGGTTCTCAGGTAGAACCCATCGACTCGGTCACATTCCAGCATGGCAGGTTTATTGAGGGTTCGCTTCACAAACAGGCCCAGAGCAAATGCAAATTACAGTCATCATGCAGCATTCTTCAGCAAACACAGGTTGCTCGGGGTCGCTCTTAACTGCGGGGTGCTGCGTACAAATGACTTCCTGCAGAAAAGCACAGGTTAAGTACTTTGTATGCGTTGTTGTTTTCACAATTATAAAATCACAGAGTGCCATCAAGATGGGTTTACCTGCAGACCACATGCAAATTCAGTCATAAAGCCATAGATTTACTTGAAAATATGAAGCTGTTCAGAAGATAACCAGACGGCATTGCAATTAAATCAAGCCCCCTGACCTCTGTAATCTCATCTGCGTCTCTTTAGAAGACGTTTAGAAGCTTTAGAAGACGTCTCAACAGTGTCTCAAAGTGTGCTCAGATTTGCCAAAATGCCAATCGAAGGTCCGAGATCTCAATATGAGCTGCTTTCCAGCTCTGCACTCCTACTGTATGACAGCTACTGACTCATTTCTAATAAGGCATTTTTGGAGAAACATCTGTTGATGCTTAGATTAATCATTACTGAAAGTGTCCTGAAGATATGAAAGAGCAGTCTATAAGAGAGGTTATGCTGCTTCTGAATGCTCTTTACTGTGTTGTGTAACTAAAATCACTCAAGAGTAGGACTCTGTGATTTCTGATGATGCTGAATCCAGTCATAAAAATGGCATTTACAGTATAATGCACAGAATGGCACAGAATTTCCCATCTGCGTCTCAATATATGAGAACATGAACTGAGAGTCACTTCAGCAGCATTTCACAATTTCCTTTGAGAAATACACACTAAAACTCCAAGCTCTTCACAGCAACTCGCCAAAATAAAAGTCAGAAATGCATTGCTGTTGTGCAGTAGACTGTACTTCTCAAAGTAGAAATGATAATGTAATAATTTAACATTTCAAGGAATCTCACTCAATTTTTCTTCCATGTTTTAATTTAAGCGATAAGCCTAAATATAAACGCCAAAAATCAAAGGAATCATTACATTTTCATTTGATTGCATTTTAAAATGTTAATTGTTAATGTTTTATACATTTATTTTATTACCACTGTTTTTGATAATAAATGTGTATTAAATCATGAATCCAGAAAAATTTATTCTTATAATGAATTAAATAATAAACATCATATGGCTCTATTTTTGTTAATAATAATAATAATTTGTTAAATTGTCATTTTTAAATCAATTGATTAGACATGCTTTTTGCAAATGAAATGAAATTAAACTATTAAAAATAAGGGGAAAATGTATTTAGGTAAAAATAAAATGTAATTTGGGGAAATTACATCAGGCTGTATTACATTATTTTCATTAAGCTATAAAAACTTAGTTTTGTTCTATAATTGAAAGACTATTTTTTTTATATTTATTAACAAATATTATTTAGTTTAAATAAAAGCTGTTTTTTTTCATTTTATTCATCAAAGAATCCTGAAAAAAAAAAAATGACTGTACTTCTCAAAGTAGAAATGATAATGTAATAATTTAACATTTCAAGGAATCTCACTCAATTTTTCTTCCATGTTTTAATTTAAGCGATAAGCCTAAATATAAACGCCAAAAATCAAAGGAATCATTACATTTTCATTTGATTGCATTTTAAAATGTTAATTGTTAATGTTTTATACATTTATTTTATTACCACTGTTTTTGATAATAAATGTGTATTAAATCATGAATCCAGAAAAATTTATTCTTATAATGAATTAAATAATAAACATCATATGGCTCTATTTTTGTTAATAATAATAATAATTTGTTAAATTGTCATTTTTAAATCAATTGATTAGACATGCTTTTTGCAAATGAAATGAAATTAAACTATTAAAAATAAGGGGAAAATGTATTTAGGTAAAAATAAAATGTAATTTGGGGAAATTACATCAGGCTGTATTACATTATTTTCATTAAGCTATAAAAACTTAGTTTTGTTCTATAATTGAAAGACTATTTTTTTTATATTTATTAACAAATATTATTTAGTTTAAATAAAAGCTGTTTTTTTTTTCATTTTATTCATCAAAGAATCCTGAAAAAAAAAAAAATGACAGTTTCCAAACAAATATTAAGCAGCACAACTGTTTCCAACATTGATAATAAATCAGAATATTAGAATGATTTCTGAAGATCATGTGACGCTGAAGACTGGAGGAATGATGCTGAAAATACAGCTTTGATCTTTATATTTTAAAGTATATTAAAACAGAAAACCAGTATTTTAAATTGCAATAATATTTCACAATATTACCTTTTTTCTATATTTTGGATCAAATAAATGCAGCCTTGATGAGCAACTTGATGACTTCTTTAAAAAAATTAAAAAAATAAAAATCTTTTTGATACAAAAAAAAAAAAATACTAAAAATGACATACTTTGACTGCCTAAAATAAAAATGAAGACAAGATATAAAAATAAAAACAGATTCAAAACATTAAGAAAACTATGAGACAGTATCTCGATGATACTAAAGTAACACGGGTCTGAGCGCATTAAAACAGCTGGGCTTCCTCTTCCTCTGTAAAATCATCTTTCTGATCTCCTCTGGGGTTTTGAATGGCAGTCTATGTAAATAAATAAAGATTCAGAATAGTGGTGGCTCAGTATTGGAGTTTAATCATTTCTATCACCTTTCACATTGGCTCCATGTGCAGCGTCACACTCATTAGCAGTAAGTGCGGGAAAAGACGCTGGGCTCTTTGTCTCTGGCCGTCTGGCCGGGGTCCGAGGCTGGTGTAATGGCAGGTTCCCAGCGTGTTAATAACGGCCGTCCTCCTCTCGCTGTCTCACAGGTGTTCACAGGCATCAGTCGCAGGAAATCTCCGGTTTCTACTCTCTGCCTCAAGGCCAGATCACTCCGTCCATGAACTGGTAAGACATCTAAAGTCCGAGAGTGCACACATCTCTCCTCATATCTGCTGATGAAGGAGAGCACTCCAAACAAGACTTTAAATGTGAAGTGGCCCAGTATGTTTTGAGCCACTGTACTTTTCACACTTAAAAATAAAGCGGCTTCAAAGATTCTTCACAGCGATGCCATAGAAGAACCATTTTTGGTTCCACCTAGAACCATCTCTTTCTTACCTTATTCTAATCTGAAGAACCTTCTTTCGCCACAAAGAAGCTTTAGTGAAACAGAAAGGTTCTTCAGATGTTAAAGATTCTTTATGGAACCATTTAGACAAAAATGGTTCTTCTATGGCATCGTGAAGCACCTTTATATTTTTAAGAGTGTATGTGTGCAGCAACTTAATGTAATAACTGTACTTGTGTAAAAAGTTTTATTATTTAATACAATGGAATTGAATATTATATATAATGGTCATAACGCAATAATCTTCTCCAATCTTGAGCTCATATTGTAGTTTGCCATTGCATAGTCGGTTATTGCATGAGAAATTGAACAAAGTGTAGAAACTTATAATATATTCATAGTTTATAATCTTATAGCAGCACGTAATATACAGTATAAATGAAACAATGTTTACAATATATTAATTCTCTCTCAATATAATATGTTTATAGACACAAAACTTTAATAGGTTATTACATTCAAATTAATGTAGGCTTCTTTGTCTACATTGTGAACATTTTAGTTTAACAAACTACTAATTTTGTGTTTTTATTTATTTTATTTTTTTTTTATGACCTGTGCCATTAATTTGTGTCGCTTGGTGTTCCAGTTTTAGTTTTATTTGTTTAATTACAATTGTTTTTTTTTTAAGTTACTGATTTTAAAATATAAATCATGAATATTTAAGTATTCAGTAAGTAGTTTAGGATGAGATTTAAATTTAAAGGGATAGCATTTTTTGTTATTTCATTAAAAAGGTGATTATTAAATTTGACAATGTTTTAGTTGCACTCATATGTCTCGTAATGTAAAAAAAAAACATTATTCCTTTATGAGTTTAACATTTTGTTTTTCAAAATATTTCTTTTTTAATATCTTGCATCATGTGCCGTTATTACATTGTTCATTGCTGATGTTAATCTCTATGGTCTTGTGTGTGTGATAAATTGGCGAGCTGATTTGGAGAAACTCAGCTGATGTTGTGTGAGTGTCAGATTGATCTGACAGATGTTTTCATCATGCAGTGTGTCGGAGGATATATATATATTCTGTCAGTGTGTGTGTGTGGATCTGGTGATTGAAGCCGTGTGTTGGTGTTGATGGTGTCTTGTTCTCCGTTAACCTGACGTCTGTCAAGGCCTGAGAAAGCAAGCTGTCACCTGGAAACATTTCTGTCAAGAAACATGAATAGTTCACCAGTCATTGTACTGCCGTAAAGTGAAGATTTGAAAAAGATCGTGCTTTTCAGTAAAGCCCCGCCTTCTTTGATTTGATTGGTCACCTGGAACATTTGGACATTGACGAGCGCTGAAGCAGACCAGCCTAGAAATGTAACAACAAACGTCAAGCATCAAGAGTACAATCAATAAATATTTAGGCCTAAATTTAAGATGTTTTTGAATTGCATATGAATTGTGCATCAGTTTGCTGAGAACTCATCTCTTTTGGGCACTTCCTGTCTATTTGCCTCTTTAAGATGAATCGATGTATTCCCCAATTGTAAGTCGTGTTGGATAAAAGCATCCGCTAAATGAATAAATGTAAATGTAAATTTGATTACACATGACTAATTCACTAAAAACAAATAGACTCACTGTGATTCATATCTGTTTATCGTACATAAATTAAATGGGTCAGATTTTTTAATATAAACTCAATAACCAGGTTTATGTATTTATTAGCAATAAATCCAGTTAGTTTCAATCCCATGCATTTAATGACTTGAGTATCACAATGAACAGATTGATTCTGATTTGAATAAATGCATTTTGAAAATCTGATTGAAATAAAATCAAACAGATGCAAATAGTTCATAATAAACTATGCCCTGATTTGTTTGAGTGCCTGACATACAACAAAATAAAAGTTTGTTAAAACTGTTTTATCCAAATGCATGAAAATTTTCTATGCAATTCCAATACATAAATCATAAATTTAGGCTGACATGTTTTTTGAGTGCATCATTTGGATCAGTGTATATATATATAAATATATATATTTTTTTTCCATTTTATGTATTTTTTTTTTTTTTTTTTTCATTCATTTTTATTTATTTATTTAGTTTTTAGTTTTTTTGCGCATCAAGTTAAACTGAATTAAAATGAGAAATGTTGCAACTAGCTAAAGTATATATATATATTAGTTGTAATTTTATTTTCCGTTTTAGTTAAGTATAGTTATGGCCCTGCGTGATCAAAAAAGCGCTAGTATTAAAGTTGAGCGTGTGCATTGCTAGAATTGTTTTCAGAGAGGTTTCCTGCCTCCATTGGTCAGACAAACAGTTAGCCCCACCCCAAACACAGTGTTCAGTGTTTGGAAAGCAGTTGAGTCTTCAGCAAATCCACCGCCGGGGGCTCTAACTCTGTCCCCCGACCCGCAGGCCCAATCAGCCTGTCTATCCTCTGCCCTCCTGCGGCTTCAGACAGTCCTTCTCCTCCAGCCTCCAGAGCAGCTCCTCCTTCCCCAGGTACAGTACCAGACCTCACCTGTGCTTCACCTGACGCTTCAGCCGTATGTGTGTCGCCGCTGAGCTCCCGGTCACGACCCCAAATACTGCTAAACTGAGCCACGCTGACAGGAACGCTCCGGGTTCAAGCTCTGCATCGCTCTGATTCAGACTTTATTCAGCTAAAACTTGTCCATTGAGCTTGTAAGCAGTGCATTATAGTGGTTTTACATGGTTGTGACTCGAGTGGACACATGATGAAGTTCTTAGCAATGCATGTTACTAATCAAAAATTATGTTTTAAGATATATTTATGGTAGGACATTTTCAAAATAACTTAATGGAACATGATCTTTACTTAATATCCTATTGATTTTGGTATAAAAGAATATTATAGAAGATAATTTTGACCCATACAATGTATTGTTGGCTATTGCTACAGATATACCCCAGCGACTTAAGACTGCTTTTGTGCTCCAGGCTCACATATTGAAAATAACTTTGCACACTAAGTGTAAGTTTAAGTGGTTCTGACGAACGATAAAAAGATGGACCCTTTTCACAAGACTGTGTTGATGTGTTTAACAGTCATCAGCATCGTAAATCCTCGAAGGTTTTTTATATTTTTAAAAATGTATGAACATTTATGACACTATAATTTGTATTATATCACCTTTGCATCAAATTACAAAAAAACTAGTTAAGGCTAATGTGAGGGTGTTTCTATGTGAGAGACATCGTTCTCTCTTCTGACTGCCGTTATCAGTCTCTCTCAATTTACTGCTCTCGAAGTTAACTCAACTATGACGACTTCCGCTGCTGAGAAACACAGAAATGTGAAAAAGGTCCATTGCCAGCCAATCAGAATCCATCCTGCTTTAAAGAGCTTGAGCTGTTAAGTTTCAGACAACAAAACTGCAGCACGCTTGTAATAAACAATGTTACTGTGATGTTGCTTGTTATAGCTCTCATTATTTGTGTGAACAGGCCTTAAGTTAATGCAATTTTCCCCCCCGTTTTTCAACTCGGAGTTATTGAATAAACCCGGAACTCTGCTTTAATTACAGTTACGAGAGATCATGCTATACTATAAATGCAGGCACAGATAACGTGCATTAATATGCAGATACACATTAAATATCGTCCTTATGTTGGTAGATCTAGTAGTGGTATGTAAACTAAGGAACACTACTATTGTGCTGTGTGTCAATTTGACCCATATTCAATTTTTAAACAGCTTGAAACACTGGTTAAACTTGTTTGTCTTTCTTATTTAGTCATGAATGTGCATGCAAGGTTTTGACCCCGTAGGTGTGTTTTGGAAAGACTGTATGCATTTTGGTGACTACGATAGTGTTGGGAGTCAAATTGGCCCCCTTTTGGTTTCCATACACTTGGACAGATTTTCATATCGGCCGTTTGAATAACAGCAAACATTCAGGTAAAAAACAGAAAACTGTAGTTAATCAAAATCTGATTTTATATGCTGCCATGCAAAAGTTTTTAATGTTTTTTAAAGAAGTCTTTTGTGCTCTTAAAGGCTCAATTTATGTGATAAAAAATACAGAAAAAATGTAATATTATTATTACAATTTAAAATAATGGTTTGCTATTTTAATATACTTTAAAATATAATTTATTCTTGTGGTCAAAGCTGAATTTTCAGCATCATTACTCCAGTCTTCAGTTAGAAAACAATGTAAGCCTTCACTATCACTTTTTTATCAATTTAATACATCCTTGCTGAATAAAAGTATTAATTTCTTCCCAAAAATAACTTTTGAACAGTAGTGCATATTGTTACAAAATATTTCTATTTTGAACAAATGCTGCTCTTTTTAATATTTTATTCATCAAAGAATCCTGATAATAAATCAGCATATTAGAATGATTTCTGAAGGATCATGTGACACTGAGTTATGATGCTGAAAATTCAGCTTTGATCACAGAAATAAAGTGTAATAAAACAGAAAACCATTATTTTAATATTTTACACTATTACTGTTTTTTCTTTATTTTTGATCAAATAAATGCAGCTTTGATGAGCAGAAGAGACCTCTTTAAAAAAAACATAAATATATAAAGTCTCTGAGAAGCTGTAATAGATATTACATTTTTGCATGACTCTTTAGTGTTGATTTTTGTCATAGAGCATGGAAACCAGTAGGGGCTTATTTTGACACAAATGTCGTACCCACAACACAACATGAAAGTTAATAGCTGGTCTCTGTGGAAATGACCGATCATACGCTGTATGATATTTTGGTTCCTTTTTCATATTGAAGTACTTTCTTGTGGTTCACATGATGTCCAGTCAGAAAGTAACCCAGACGTCTATTGGGTACGACTCAATCTCTTCTCGGGTGTTCTTCAAGCCGTTTGTTTGTTTGTTTGTTTGGTCAGCTCAGTCTCAAAGTGGATTGGGTGAGGCACCAACCCATCGCTGTGGCTTTTCCCATCAGACGTCAACTGTGATCAAATCCTTCCTTTGTAACCCAAAACCCGAATTAGATGAACAAATCATGTTAATATGCTTACATGCAGTAATAAATCCAAGCTGTGGAGATGGTTTCATTCGGATGTCAACAGACGACGCACATCTTTGTTCAATTCTTCTCGTGTCAAAGGCACAAATCCAAAACAGAGTCTGGAGCTGCGAGTGTGTGGGGACGCTTTGTTGAGCTGGAATCCTTTCTGCTGTCCTTTCCCATCAAATATTAGTGCTGCTGTAGAGTTGGCTTTGAAATGATATTTGAGTTTGTGTTGAATGCTTCAGACGGCGTGCTGGTTTTCCCTCCCCAGTATGTGCTTGCGGCGCTTCGGCGGTGCAGATAGAGCACCAGCTGCTGGTCACATGACGCATTGACGCTTCATTACAGTTTTTTTTTCAGCTGCTTACACACACAATCTTTACTTGTCACACAGTTTCTGAAAGCTGACACTCAAACACCAGAAGCACACACCAAATCTGCAAAACCATACGCTAATTCTCAGCCTTTGACTCAGCTCTTTTTGCAAAACACAACACACAATTCTCTATGTAACACACAAAAACCTATCAGGAAGTTTCTTGATTTCCTTTTTTTGTGTGTGTGTGTGTGTGTGTGTGTGTGTGTGTAGGTTCTCTCATTCTCTGATGCTTCAGTCCGGCATGCACCCTACAGGCATCCCACACCCCGCGATAGTGCCTCCCTCCGGCAAACAGGAGCACGACCAGTTCGACAGGAGCATTTACACGTAAGTCCTCTGATGCTTTCAATGAATAGTGCACAGAACAGACCTGGGGCCTCATTTATAAAACGTGCGTATGCACTAATTTGATCTCAAAGCCACGGGAACGTTCATATTTGTGACCCTGGACCACAGAACCAGTCACAAGGGTGAATTTTTTAAATTGAGATTTATACATTATCTGAAAGCTGTGTGGTTTGCTAGGATAGGACAATATTTGGTCGAGATACAACTATTTGAAAATCTGGAATCTGAGGGTGCAAAAAAATCTAAATATTGAGAAAATCATCTTTAAAGTTGTTCAAATGAAGTTCTTAGCAATGCATATTACTAATCAAAAATTAAGTTTTGATATATTTACAGTAGGAAACTTACAAAATATCTTCATGGAACATGATCTTTATTTAATATCCTAATGATTTTTGGCATAAAAGAAAAATGTATAATTTTGACCCATACAATGTATTGTTGGCTATTGCTACAAATATACCCCAGCGACTTAACACTACTTTTGTGCTCCAGGGACACAAATATAAACACAGTCTTTGCATGGAAAAGTGCTTAGAGCCACGTCAGGGTCTGAGCAGACGTACACACTTTTCCTTGTGCAGCCATGATGATGATGATAATAATAGTAATAATAGTAGTATTAGGTATGTGCATTTCGCTTAATTTTCCTGACAGATATCAGATGCTGGATAATTGTTTAAGAGTTAACAGACAAGATTAGAATGTTAAATAAAAACTAAATTAGATTTTTAAAATTACGTGTTAATGTTAATAATGCCATAAATGTGCAAATATCACCATAAACAGAACATGAGTTTTGCCATGTCGTCATGCATCTGCCGCACTTTTGTGAACGGAAAAAACTGAATAAAATTGTATATAATTAAATAAACACGAAATATGTTTGACTTAAATAAAACGAAATTTAAAAAAACTGAGGCAAGTAAGCTATGCTGAGTTTTGGTGTGTTTCTGTGATTCGCTCCATTAATTAAAAAGAACCAAGAGTTAAAACGGCATCCTGTTTTTCTGGATGCTACAAATTAAAGCACGCTATTTTATTTTATTGTGAGTGTACACAAATAAAAGCCCAACTTTGGCCTCACTAAAGTTCTTTTTCCTGCTGCTCGCCATCCTCAAACAACTGTTTTCGACGTTGACTGATGCTATTTTATATGCTAATGATATTAATTAGGGGGCGTTTACAAGGCGGGGATCTGACAGCTGTCAGCTGCGCACCATTTCAAGATCATTTGTGATTTATAAATGCCACATTTGGAAGACAGCATGTGTTTTTGTGCGCATGTTCGTTTTACGTTTTCTCTCAATCGCATTTGTGCATTTTTGAGAAACGATCTTAGAACAAATTTAGGACGCAACTTTTTATAAATGAGGCCCCTGGAAACTCTTGAACCCTTGAAGTTAGTTTTCTGAAATTTAAGCACACGCAAATATTATTCCAGTAGTTTATTTCTATGTTTGTGCCATTTTTTTAAGTGCACACATTTTGGTCTCAACACCAAAACTGCAACGTCTGAATACAGTTGACTCGGACGGGACTAGTTTTCCTGGAGGACGTACTTTGTGATTTTAATCCCATCTGAATCTGTGTTTTTCTTCCATAACCTCTCTAGAAGTTCTAGAGCAAATTACCTTCTGTTTGGTCCTGTGAGATCTGGAATTGCCTTGTGAGTTTGCACCCCTGAATAGAAATACTTGACACAAATCTGATTCTCATAATAAATTGTCCATGTCTGTGGGACTAATTATAATACCTCAAATACCTCTGTTTGTGTGAAATATATCCAGTGCTGGGTAGATTACTTACAAAATGTAGAATTTCAAAAATTCTAGATAGTAAAGTAATCCATTACATTACACGTTTTAGATAATCTGACAACTTTTTGATTACTTTTAGATTACTTTTGACCTAATGCATTGATCACATTGATTTAAATAAGATAATCTTGTACTATATTGATGTAAAAGTACACTTGACACAAATCTGATTCTCATAATAAATTGTCCATGTCTGTGGGACTAATTATAATACCTCAAATACCTCTGTTTGTGTGAAATATATCCAGTGCTGGGTAGATTACTTACAAAATGTAGAATTTCAAAAATTCTAGATAGTAAAGTAATCCATTACATTACACGTTTTAGATAATCTGACAACTTTTTGATTACTTTTAGATTATTTTTGACCTAATGCATTGATCACATTGATTTAAATAAGATAATCTTATACTATATTGATGTAAAAGTACAAAGAAAAAGAAAATATATTACATTTGTTCTTATTAACAACATGAAGTGCATTAAAAAGTTTCCCAAACTGGGTTCATGAAGGAACTGAAAATTAAAAGCTAATATTTAATTACATCATAAAAATGTAAAATTAAAATAAATCATTTAAAAATAATTGATCATTTAAATATAAATTCATGTGTTCATCGGTAGTTGGTGCAATGTTGAAATGTTGAGAAAACGTATGACTTAAGTTTAAGTAAAACGGAAATTATTTTTGTAAATTTAAGTTTTTGTGTAATTATATCCATCTGACTAGTGTCTGGTCTTTGTGTGAATGTCCACAAAACTAGAAGACTGGAAAACTCGTAAGCTATTTTAGAAAGGAAGATTGGATATTGGAATAATTTATTGCTTTAATAAGAATAATATGTAATCATGTAATCCCTAATAAAGTAACTATAGTCTGATTTCAATTATTTTTAAATATAACTACAAGTACTTAATTTTTGGAATCTGATTACGTAATCCACATTACATGTAATCAGTCACTACTCAGCACTGAATATACAGTATTTTTGTTTAATATGAAGTGTTTTCAGTTGAAAATGCTTGTTCCTATCAAATGTTAGATCAAGTCTCCACGTCAGAAATTTCAGATCTGAATCCTGCCACGAGATTTGTCTCACATCCGAAACCCAGTCAGCGAAGTCTTGTCTGATACCCAAAACCCGTATTAACAGCCTTCTGTCAGCCGAGAAGTTGACTGAGAAAGCCAGAGAAGAGCAGAAGAGGAGACAAGTGATGATGATAACAAAGGATGTTTCAATTCTCAGACTTCATCTGACCAGCGCAAATGCAACAAGTGTTATTATACTACGATCGGTAGCAATGGAAAATGACTGCTTCACAACAACGTCCCTCTTATCATGAAGACAAATATCCCTTGAAACCACACAATCATAAGACAACAATGGAAAAATAATATAAAATATAATAAAAGTGACTAATCAATGAAATGAGTATATAAGTGGTTTAAATGATCATTATAGATGAGAGATAAACATGGGCTTTGTGCCTTTGTTGATTTCGAGTAATGGGATGCCCATCCAAACATGTTATTAACTATTGTTATTTGTATAATGAAGTGTTTTTCTCTTTCTTCTTCATCACCTACCTCAGCAAATCTCATGCAGAGTTGAAGCGCGAGAAGGAGCCCAAGAAGCCGGTGATCAAGAAACCGCTGAACGCGTTCATGCTCTACATGAAGGAGATGCGGGCCAAAGTCATCGCTGAGTGCACGCTGAAGGAGAGCGCCGCCATTAACCAGATCCTGGGCCGACGGGTGCGTTCCATCCACTTCATCTATGATCAGGATTACTGTCTGGGAGTGTGTGTGTGTGTGTGTGTGTGTGAGACAGTGAGTGAGTGTGTGAGTGAGTGAGTGTGAGTGAGTGCGTGCGTGCGTGCGTGCGTGCCTAAATGTCCCCACAAGGATATTAAAACCTGACATTTTTGACATTGTGGGGAACTGCCTGCGCTCCCCATGACGGAAAAAAATTATTAAAAATAGTAAATGATGTTTATCTGAAAGTGTAACAATGCAAACAGGTTTTCTGTAAGGCAGGGGTGGGGAACGTTGATCCTGGAGGGCCAGTGCAGAGTTTAGCTCCAACCCTAATTAAACACACCTGAACAAGCTAATCAAGGTCTTCAGGATACAGGAAGGTTTTTTTTTTGTCACTCTGCAGGACAGCGGCCCTCCAGGATCATTGTCCCCCACCCCTGCTGTAAGGGGTAGGTTTAGGGTTAGGGGATAGAAAATATTGTTTGGTCAGCATAAAAGTAACAGAAGTCTATGGACGGTCCCCACAATTCAAACAGTGGCACGCTCTGACCCGCGAGGAACAGGCCAAGTACTATGAACTAGCGCGGAAGGAGCGACAGCTTCACATGCAGCTTTATCCCAGCTGGTCGGCCCGTGACAACTACGTAAGTGCTTCTCATTACTCTGCGGCTAAGTGAGGAAAATCAGGATCATTCTGACATGTGGGATATAAACGTGACGTAGAAGCAGATCCAGTGTCCAAACTCTTCAGTTCAGCTCATTACAGATCAATCACAATGAGATTATTCTGGCCGTTCATTCAGACTGCATCTGTTGGACTGTCAACTATGTAAATTAAATATATTTTTTATGCATCAGGGTTCTTATTAACTAGAACTAAAATGATCAAAACATTTCAGTTAATTGAAATAAATCTGCAATAAAATAAAATAAAATATAAATATTAGATGATATTAGCTTCAGTTAGTTGCCAAGGCAAGATTTCTATTTTTTTAAGTTGAGGCACTAAAATTCTACCCAGGCTCATTGGAAATACTAGGTACTTTTCTACAAAACTGAAAAAAAACATACCTATATGTACGAATCGCTGCGGTTTCCAGTTATAATGAACAATAGAGACAGTAAAACTCGGACAACTTTTATTGCTTTTCACACAAAGTATGATTTACAGGTCCACAGTTTCAGTTAATAAAGCGTTATTTTCACACAATTACTTGAAGAATATTATGTTATGACTTCAAAACAATTTTAATATGCTGCGAGATTTGAAAACTGATACTTTTGAATGTCAGCGTCACATAGAGGCATGTATTTTTTTATGAGACTGGGTTGCTAAAATTACTAACTAGAAATAAAATTAATAAAACATCTAAAACTGAAATAAAAATAAATGAAATAAAATTAAGCAATTAAAAAAAGAATAAAAAAGACAAAAGCACATAACAAAATGACAAAACATAACAAATTAAAATGAAATAATTAAAATAAAAGCAAATAAAAAATAGCATAGTATATAAATAATACTAAAATAACACTGTTATGCATGTGATTTATAGTGCATGTTATTCCAAAGAAAAAAAGGTTTGTTTTTGTAGTCTTTTTTTTGCACAGACAATGATTACTAAAATGAGCATAAAATATTAAAGTGTGCGTAATTTTGTGTCAGATAAGAAGACATACAATAAAAATACATAAAAATACAAAATAGTAATTTCTAATTTATTATAAAGTCATTTATTATGTTGGAAAATGAGCTACACGTTTGCAGCAATTTCCATTTTTCCCAGGAAGTGACGATTTTGTTCTCTTGTAAACGGTACTTCATTTGCAAATGTTTTATTCAATGTTCCATTTTTTATTCCATTCCATTCCTTTCCTTTTTTTTTGCATTAGTTAAATTTACAATTTTGGAAAGAAACAGCTATTGAAAGAATATATAATTTTTTTATATATTAATATGTAAAATTGTGTGCTTGATACTTAATTTGATAATATACAAATGTACAAAAAATACTAATAATAAATCTCAATCTCAGAGATTTAACACCCATGGAAATATGTAAATATTAGATGAAAAACATATTTTAGTTATTTGCCGGGACAAGATTTCTAATTTCTAGAGTCTAGAGAAAAAAAAAAATAT